TGTATGGTTAGCTGCGGTACCCTATTTAATAATAACTTATTAAAAGATGCATATAATAATTTCCAACCCCAATTTATAGGAAATAAATGGCGAGGACAATCAATTTGGAGAACTATATTGATTGACCACACAAAAATGCTGTTTTTTCCTCAATAAAGAACTTGTTGGAAATGTTTGAACAACACGAACGAATTACAAGTACACTTTGACAAAAGTAATAGTTTTCCTTTTAGTCTTGACACATAAATTAGAATGGGTTACACCTCGGGTTACACAAGACAGTCACGCAAACTGACAGTCGATAGACTAAACTTTATCAGAATCTACTTTATATAAATATATATCCAAGAATCGGCTACAATGGACTTTTATATCGTCCCGTTGAATATTCTTTTTTTTAAGAAATTTAATTATAAACTGAAAAAAATGTAGATACAGAATCTTTTTAAAATTGACACAAAGTTACGCTTTGCTGCGTTTTTATGAAACCCCTTGTATATTCCTATATTAAAACTGAAACTGCCGCATAATTAAGTTGTGTCTAATAAGATTCTACAGAGCAGTGTTGATAACTGTACAAAACATTTATATGTGAATAAGTAAATGGAATAAACACTTTCCAAGGACTGAGGAAATAGCCAAGCTGAACTTGCATGTATAAAATTAACAAAATTATTCCTTAGGTTAACATAGAGTCGTATAATTTTCAAATCATTGAGAATGGAAATTATTTTAAAGACCAGTTCAAGTCGAAAACGCATACATTTTTAATGACTAAAAATGTTTGTACTAGAATAATCATTAATTAAATTAAATATAAGTATACCATCGTTGATAATTCCTATTTTGAACAAAAATAATGAAGTATCATGATAATTTTTACTGTATTGTAAAGGTAATAAGTTAACTCAACGAAATTAATTTTTTTATAATATTATTAAACGAAGTCAAACAATGTTCTTCGATACCAGAAATCTAGGTAAGCAAAAGATCACCACACAACCAACTTCCTGGGTTACATGTCCCAACTAGCACTGAATTACACCAGCAATATCTAGCAAATAGGTAGTTATACGTAAGGTTGTCAGAACTGAGTCGCGGGACATAGGTGTGCGCATTATTTATTAAAAAGCAACAAATTAAATTGCCCACAATACACCACCATAACATCAATGGATAGGAATTACTCAACATCAGCACGATAAAAAATCAACAGTATACTAACATGACGGGAACGTGAAAAGCATTTTGAGGCAGCGGCTCACGTATGTCTCGGTTGACCCGCTTGGTACGTCATTGAATTACGGCTCTCTCTGACAGCTTTAGTAATTAGGATTATCCACAATAAAAACTAAAGATTATTATCATTCAAAGAAATACAAAAGAGTTATGTTATAACAGTCAAACATTTATTAGAATGATTTAATAATTTCAATATATCGGGTATGTGTTTTTGTGTTTATTATATTTAGACATCATTTTTAATTTTTTTTTTTTTTGATAATACTTATATTGCTGGTGTATTTCGATGCTAGTTTAGCCCACAGAATAGTTATTGTTCCCCGGAATAACTAGTTAACAATCTTAGACTTAGGTAGATATCTTTTACATATTCACATTTCTGGTATCAAATAATATTGTTTGACAATTTTTTAGAAAAAAGTTTGAATTTGTTCGAATTAACTTAATACTACAATACAGTAAAAATACGAAAGCTAATAGTAATAGAATACGTTTTTGAAAGAGATATCTTAATCTGCCAAACCCAAATTTCCCTTCTTTCTGATTTTTCCTGTATGATAAAAATTGTGGAAATTTACATAGACTTTTTACATATTTGCAATGGCTGTTATACAAAAAAATATTTTATATATGAATTAAACATGCGTTGTTTGTAAGTACGCATTTGAGTGTAGGTATATTTTTTTACGATGTATTGTTACTTTTTTACTGTTTCAAAATGTATTACTCCTAATCTTTCATGTGTTAATATATTTGTAAATAATAAAATTGATAATTTACCTGATGTTGTTACCGTAGAGAACTCTGCTAGTGGCCTAGCAGACCATATGTTTAGATTAATTTATTTTGTCCCCAAGTAATGCAGCAGTTTTTAACCAGTGGCGGCTGGTGCGGGAGGGATTTAGGGCCCGACCTCCCTAAAAATTTTCGTAGTAAAAAAATTTAATACAAAATTTAGTTAATTAAATAGATTAGCCTTATAAAATACATTAAAAAGGAACTATTTTTGTAATGTGCAGTCAATTTAACTCGACTCGCAAAATTCGTTTGCAAAGCTCTGAATACTTGGGCTCCTCGTAGCTCGCCTCTACATCTGTAAAGTGTTTACAGCGGTGATCATGGTTACCTTCGCCTAGTAGTGAAAAATGCAGTGGGAGTAGCGCATATTTACTATGCAGTTTGGTCCGACCGTAACTAAATAATAGCTATTCACCTCTTTTTTTTTAATAAATGTAATTTGTTCAGGTGTGTGTAAAATTTTGTTATATACTTACATGTTGTTTCTTGTTTTTTAAAAATATTGTAAAAGTTTAAGTTGATTGCAACACTTGCAGAAAAATGGTGCGAGAAATACCTATAACGAAAAAGTAATTGAAAAGTTTATTTCGAACAAAAGCAGAACAATGGACTCTCACTATAAAAAATAATGTAGAGAACATTTTCCCTATATTTTCATAGTACTTAAAATAAAACTACCCAATTATATTTGATTTTTTTTCAATACTTTGTCCCTAAATTTTTTATTTAATTTATTTTCCCGTCATTTAGATAAGTTGTTACCTTGCCACTTAGGAAAAATATAAATAGACTTTTTGGTCGTCTTAAAAATACTACGTATGTATTTCCTATACTATACTATTACTATACTATACTATTTCCTTGCTTCTTAGTAAAATGACACTTTAGTTGTCGTAAATATACTTATATCGATTTGTAAGTTGTCATTTTGTGTGAATTACAGAAAAAGTGTAAAATTACATGCTTAACGTAAATTTACTTGTATAGTTTTACATTATCTGGTGTGGCGTGAAAATAAGCAATGATGTAGTTTGTAATTTTACATACGTGGCCTTATCTCTGTAATTTATTTTTAATTTACTACGTCACGTGCGCCTCATACACCCAAAATGAACCGAACGTATTAATAAACCTCATGCTGAACAGTACAAATATCCTTATCTATGTTAATTACATATTTATGCCATTAAAGAGCTGTTGTCAATATATTTTCAAGTGTCCTCCTCCAGTAATTATCGTCTAAAAATATCGGCTGAGCACTTTGGTATTAAACCATAGTGTGGCGCTTATCGCGTACAGGATTACCTTAGTGAAATAATCCCAGATCCCAGATAAAGACTGTAATGAGGCGACGACAGTATATTGTGTACAATTTATAAATTAATGATTTGTTTACAAGAGGTGTTTCGGTGCAATACGCCAGAAATCAGTGATTCCCAAACAATATGCGAAGAAGAGTTTATATTATTTGAACATTTAATAATATAAACACAAATTGTTGTACTAGATAGATCGTAGAATTTTATAAATGTATGATTGTGGACCAGAAAAATAATAATGAGGTAATAAAATGACGTAATGAGCAATGGCGATAAAAAATTGAATTGAATAAAAATTCATTTCAGGTAGTACTTTAAAGGTGCTAAGCTAATTCTAAAAATTTTCCTAAATTCTCATCAAATTAATATTAGGAACCTATGTATATCCCGATTATATTTTATGAATACGGATATGTTCGAAGATATGTTCAAATTTTTTTTTTTAATTAAACACCCTATATCTTATGTAGTAAACAAGTCTTCGATTATAGTTTCTTTTAATACAATACATACTTGGGAAGGTTTTGGGATATGACAGCTCAAAAAAAAAACACATACTTTTCGTAATTTAAGAAAATGTAAAAATTTACTATAAATTAATTAAAATAATTTTCTTTTATTGGATTATCAATAAGACGGGGTTTTAAAAATCCATAAATAGATAGTGTTAACAAAATTAATGGTGTTGCGTTTTAAAAAATACACAATTATGCGAATTTTTGTCTCTACTAAGGCTAAAAAAAATACTTTTTTCCTGTATGGTGATAAACAAATAATGAAAATGGCTTGTATCTATTGATACATTAGTATGTGAAGAAAAATTAACAAAAATGATGTCAATGGGATGTCAAAATTAGGATATTTATAGTATGCAAATATACTAATTACCACCTACTACCTATTACCTATATTAAATTACCAAAATAATACGTATTTGTAAGGTTAAAACTGGTAGCAGGTTTCAATTTAACTGACCTCTCAATCCCAAGTGGCTCTGAACAGGTGCATAGTTTATTTTTTGCAATGAATTTGTGATTTATGTACTGTGTCTTATAAGTTGGACCATATTAAGCAATATATCTTTAACAGCGTGTATTAAAACAGATGGAAAACATATAATTGTAATTTTATGACAGAATGGATCACTAAAAAATTTAGTTCCTAATACTCGTTTTTCTTTTGCTACATGGTAAATATAGGTAGTCGAAAACAAATAACCAAAATGAATTACATTAGTTTATAATTACTGAATAATTAAAATGTGAAGAAAAATTATAACGTACATTGGAGGTTAGTAACCCTAGTAACCACTCGGCGCGGCAACTTTGATTTTTGACAGTTCTGTCTAAATTTTCAAAATACCTAATTAATTTTCTAACGCAAATCCTAAAATGAAAATGTCACAGCATCACATCAGGAACATATTAGCATTGTCGCTAAACAAAAACAAACGTGTTATTGCATAAATTTGTTCGTATTTCCCCGCAGCAATGCAGATTATGCATAGTATTAACATAATTATGCGATAATTTTTATGGGCAAAGGGTTTGGGAATCACTGGTGGCTGAATCAACGGGTGATTTATGGCACTCAACACCGATATATGCGGCCGTAACCGGAGCCGTGACATGGAATCCCTACCTCATCCCACTTAATGAACTTCTCTCCGTTCTGCAGAGCCTGGGGGACCTCGATCGGTTTCAGGGAGACGGCGTTGCCCACGGAAGGCCCGGAGCCGGAGCTGGGTCTGCCCCCGGCTGCAGCCGACATAGTGCCAGGGGTGATCACTGCCCGCACATCCCGGAAAAGCGAGTTCTACCACTGAGTGCCACCGAAACAACCACCGAACGGCTCATCCGTGCATGGCCGAGAGTCAAAGTGGGTGCGTTGAGCGTCTGCGGTGGACCGTTTTCTTGGGGGGTCGACAGGTCGTGTCTGGATTTACTGTTTTTCTGCGAGTCCCGAGCGGCACGGCAAATCAGACGTCACCATCTTGTTCCTACTGCTGTACTTTTATTGAAGCAATACCGACACTGACTAGGCTGTTGCACGGCGGTGTTGTCACGTCGCGCCGACGTTCCAATGTTTTGGTGTGGACGGTGGTGGGAGGGACTCGGCTTCGGCTTTGGTGAGGCCTTCTCCCTCACTACCCAACTTCGAATTTAACAATTCATGTTTTATTATATTGACTTATTTTATTACTACAGAACAAAGCGTATTATTTTAGAATATATTTATTCAATAACGTTAAATTAAATTTGGTACGACTGTTTACCTAGAAATTATAATTTTCAATATATCGAAAAGAGGAAAACTTTAAAATTTTCGGTTATTTTTTTCTAATTCATGGTTTTTCCAAACATTCCGTTTAAATATTTACGACATTAGTAAAAGGAAAAATAAATTGATTGCGATTACTTATCCTTTCGTTAGATTTATTAATTTATTAGCACAAACAAAAATTTCTACAGAATTTAAATCAATGTTTACATATGTAAAATAGACTAATATCTCATATCTCTGTATAAATCTAAAGGGGTAGCTTCTACCAAATTTTGTACTGCCTACATATACACTTAATTGAATCTAAAAATTGAATTACAGCTACCTCGTACACTTACTGTTTATTATATATAGTATACAAGTTACCACATAATAAGTATACATACCTCTATACCTACCAATTTGTCACATTCCCGATATTATTGATACGTTTGTTTTAAATTTAAGACCATCAATTTTTAGAATCACAATCAATCATGATATAGGTAATTGCTATAAAAAAGTAGGATCATATTCGATGCAAAGTAGTAAATCATTGCCTGTCAAGGGATCTAGTGCCATACGCTTTTAAGGGTTTTAGAAATTGAATAATTTCTTTATACATTATGAAGGGACGAAGGGATATCAGTTCTCGTCTGGCACCCTTTTGTTCCTACAAAAATTCCTTTATTCTCATAAACTTTGTATTTAAAATGTAATCTATTATAAATCCAATCTGTTTTTTAATTTCCTCGTATGTACTGCATTTTACATCTGTACGCGCCACTGTTGTTTACTCGTTTTTTGGAAGCGCTCTTTGATATACGACCAAGCTCGCCAGGTTAGTATTTGACGTATAACTGACCACTTCGTGTACACTCGATGCACCTGGGCGACTACAGCTACTAGCAGAATACAGTGCGTATGCAGCGGTATTTCAGATTTTACATTCAATTTCATTTTAAATTTGAAATGGTTCTTCTTACGCCTCCTAAAAATGATGACACGATTTTCCTTTGATAAAAGACCGACAACTTTTTGCTCTACTTTGCATCGAATACGATCCTACTTTAGTCACATATTATAATAGGGGCCTTTTTTGAAAAAGATATCATCACATTTGATGAGGCCTGATAGAACATAAAAAATAAGACTTGATATAGTTGATTAACTTTTGGGACAGTCAATACGTTTTTTTCAAAAAAAAACAGTGCATTTCAGATATATCAACCATATATAGTACCGTTTTTATGTATTTTAACTTACATATCTGTCCCCTGCCCCTACGACATACACCGTAAAAACCTAACCTCAGAAAAATTAAAATAATTCTTATATAAGTATATGAAAATAATGTCACTATGTAAGATTATAGTTAACGACCTCTAGCAAATGGTCAAAAACTAACTACACTAAACAAACACATCTTTGCATTCTTAGCCAAATTTTAATGCATTATATTATTTGGCAAAGATATGGCTAAAATTTGATTAAAAAAATATCTTTGATAGGTTATATCTCAAAATCAAAAAACAGTAGGTATAAAATTTTCTTATAAAGAAGCTAGAACACTTACCTCAATTTATTATACTACGTATATAAAGAATAGCCTGTCCAATTTCTGTTTCAAAAACTGTTAAATACAACACAGGTTTTATGCGTATTTATATATTTACATATCCATACCTATAGTTATGTAAATTTCAAATATGTCTTGCCTTTATTCTATTTAGTTGCCATTAATTGATAGATTTTATTTGTTGTCGGCCGGTGGCCGAGGAGTTTAACGTGTCAGTACTTGATTCAATGAATGACACTGTTAAGGATTCGATCCTCGCAACCAGAAAACCGTTGGCTTGGGTCAATATGCAAAATTGATTCCGGTGGGCGTTTGATTATCCCCCTAATTATTGACGTTCTTCTAGTTTCCTACCTTCTTGCACCGAATGGTGATTAGAGCTTACGAATGTAAGTCGTTTCTGAGCGCAAATGCAACTTACTGGTTAATACTGCCCCTCTCCCGCACAAGATTTCAGTTTCCAGGGTAGTCATTGCTATTAGAATAAGGGATATAGAGATATTATTATTATTTATTTAATACATAATAATTTCTAGATAGTGAAATATGTTCAAATAATTTATCATTATATAAATTTTTAATAATTTCGCTAACTATTTTATTTATCATAATAATAATGCATTACACAGGTTGCTTTATAATAATAATAATTATTATTATTATGCAATTATCGCTTTACATTAAGAAAGTTATTATTTTAATACATTTATTTTAGTATTGTTTTAAAAAATATAAGTAATATATGGCTTTTTATTTTAAGATGCAAATAAGATTCTTTTGAATTTTAATCTTCCTGATTTCTTGAAGATCGATCTGGCAACACCGCGATTAATGACCATGTTATTACCTAAAACTGCTGTTGGCCTGTTACTGGGGTAGAACTAGGGGCGCATGCTATGTTTCAGTTTCGGTGGTTAGTCCTGCTACCTGCTACAGATGGACTATTGTTTTCATCCCTATTGAATTTGCATCTATAAGTTGCTGGCCCGTTACATTAGCGGTTCTTTTGGGCAATCCAGTGCTTTTTTACGTGTTTGTTAGTGGTTGAAGACTCGATTGCATCGCTCCCCTTATTTCATATATCGATTTCCAATCTTAACCTATCTCAATGAGCCCTCGATACCTATTTGGTGTTATTGTTAAAATTGGGTAAAATAATTCGGACGAAAACGTATCCAAAAGACGGCCAGCCTAAGAAAGACATCCCAATTTTTAACTTTTGCTATACATTTTACATTTTTTCATCATTACGTCAAACATAATAATCCTATAATATACCTAGGTTATTTTTTTAAGTTCATGACATATCGGGGTGTTAGTTGCATCATCTTAGACCTAAAAAGTCTTAATGAATCACAAGTCTAAAGGAAACTGGTTTCAAAATATCTACCCACAAGACGAAGAAATTTAAAAATAAATTCAGAATATCGGTACTAATAAGTCTACAGATTACAGATGAAGGTAGATTGATGAAACTTAGGTTAGTGGTTCAACCAATTTAAAAAATTTTAAAAACGAAAATGTACCTTAATCGGTTTATTTTCATATACAGAGTAGAGTAGTAGAGTAACATGCCCTTGAAGCACATGTCAAATCGGAGGAAATGGAGGAATTGAGAATTGAGTAATGGAAGTATGGAGAGTCTCCATGAATGGAAGATTGGAAATTGGAAGCTGATTAATCATACACCATAGAACAGAGGTTACAGATAACATTGTTTGCACATGTCCTCAATCTACTTCTTTAGAACATGGCGGTATTTGTTTACATCTTTATAATCTGTTATCCGTTATCCATGATAGCGTTATAAATATATTTAACTACTGCTGCATTATCTGTATTAATGAAGTAGTTTCCAATTTCATTTGAAACATAGTATTAATTATGTATATTTTTTTGTAAAGAAACTTAAAAATGTCGCCACATCCATAGGCCCACAGAACATAAAACATAATAAAGACGCGCGGCGTTGTAAGCGCACTTCGTTACAAGACTTTCCAGTGTATCAGCGCTACAACGGCGACCCGTTAAACTTTAATATGGGTCATAAAACGGGATTCAAATTTGTATGCTCAAGTCTTCTCTTCACTTCTTGTCTACCTTGAGTATAAAATACTGTCTACACTATTAATATGGTTGATTTCTTGAGCACAGTCTAGATTTTGTTTCTATGTGTTCTGTGAATTATAGCTGCTTCCCTTTTGCAGGCAACTGAGTACATATTACACGTGAGGTGAGTGTACTCACATCAGTTGTTTCTGTTGTGATTCATCTTGTAAAAGGAACGATCATATGAGTTAAGTATAAATAAACCATATAAATGCGAAATATTATTATTGAAAATACGTTATCTACTTATACTTATTATTTGCAACTTTTAGCTTTTAAAAACAAACCTAATCGTGCCTAATCTCACTTTAAATAACTGAGCACAAAATGAGCCAAGTGAACAAGCTCTCAAGCTAATGCAGATAGTAGTAAGTGGGGGTAAAAATTCTCAATTCAAACTCACTTCGGAAAATTAAAAGAAACGCACAATTAACTGAGTCATGACGTCACATGTGATATTAATGTGATTTTTCTTGCAAAAGGGAAGCAGTTTAAATTAGAATTTTGTGAGTAGAATATTTGTCTTTCTTCCTTCTCCTCCTCCTTCTTTCCTATGGTGTTCTATATATGAATAATGAATGTTGCTATATTCGTTGTATCAACTGACAATAATTTCAATTTGAATTCAACGAATTTGACTTAAACGTTAAACCATTTTGAAAGAAAGTGACTAAATAGAAAATATACCTATTTTTTGAGAAAAGCCATTTAAAATGGATAGAAATGAAAAAAATATTCAACCAAGTACATCGGATGGTAAAGAAAATAAGAGTGATTCAAGAAAATATAATTTTTATAGAAAGCCATCAATAAAGAAAAAAGGGCCAGAAGTAAGACAAACTCTTACAAGTTACAAGAGAATGTTAAAAGCTAACCCTTTATTGAAACATGAACTGGAAGGAAAAGATTTATCTTTATTGAGTAGACAGTCTCAAATTTCTGGAAGTGGTCAGAATAAAACTAAAAATACAGCTAGCACAAACAATCGACCAGAAAAACAGTCACTGCAGGCAAATTTTAACGAAGGGAAACCTTTAATTACAAAAGTTCAGAGATCACAATCAGTTAAGAACCCTCCAAAATCATTACAGCCTGTGAAAAAAGAGGCTTCATCTATTTTATGTGGAAGTAAACAACTGAGAGGTAAAAATATAAGTTCCACGAATATCTCAAGACAATCCAACGTTGACTTTAATCCATGCACATCAAGATTTTTATGCTCAACTCGTTTAGAAAGTAATTGTTCCAAAACTGCAAAAGATATCGTAGCAAGTTGTAAAACTGATAAACAGAAGATCAGAACCCAAGATAATCCTGTTTCTAACAGTGGAAAATCAACAGATCTGAATCATAATGATAGACCTACAAAGAATAAACCAATGAGACGATCATTGTCTGCTCAACACTTTGAGAGGAAAAAACGTGGTGGTAAGATTGTCTCTATTTTTCCCTTTTCCATAAATTTATGTTTTAGAATATATTTTTTATTTTGTACATATTTTTTAAAATTGTTTACAGGCACTGTTAAATTTGGTCAACGAGATCCTTTTGCTCGTATTGAATTTTCTCAATCAATGGATGACGTTTCAAAACTAAAACCTTCCACCATTCAACATGACATATCACCTATAGCAGAAAGCAGCCGGGAATCAAGTATAGTTTTTAAAACTCCATCAGCTTATGAACGGCGAAGCATTGCTAAGTCTACTCCGAAATCAATTCTCAGCACTCGAAGGTTAGTCATTTTATAAATTGGGTAGTTTTCAAAGATGGCCATAAGTAACTCACTTTTCTTTTTCGTTCTAACAATTTCCAGAATGTATTAGTAATTTGTAAGCAAATATAGGAACTAATACCTTTGTATGTTTACTAAGTGATCATCTAAATATTTAAGGTCGCTGTACCGTCCTGCGACACCATTGCCTTCCTTATATGACTTACAGAAGAGATTAAACGACTGGCTGGTAAAAAGGGGAAAAAGTCTTGGTTCTTTCCACCATTTAAAATGTTTTGGAGAACAAGATAAGGAGTTAGAAATTGTAGATGAAGAGAACAAAGAAAACATTGAGGTCAATCAAGATTTAAGTAAAGGTAGCTACGAAGAATTGAGAATTGAACATTCAAATTATGAGTGTCCTTCAGAAAGTACTACTGCTAAGCCGTTGGTATTGAATGACGGAAATGCCGAGGGTATTGCTAAAGCGGCCTTGGAAGATTTGGTAAAATTAATACAAGATGTAAGTTTTTTTATATAATTATTTTATATTATTATATCATACAATTCAGTTGATTGGAAATAGACGTCTCACACTTCCATATTTTAATATTGCAATTAAATTATTGATCTTTCCGAATTTGTTGGATTTGGCAAAATCGAATATTCTTGAGAATCAAGTACTCGGTTCTCGGATACTTTTACTACATTATATTTTAAAGAATTTTATTGTTCATTTTAACTAAAAGTTTTCCTTCAGTCTAGGCCCTGTGTGGGTGTGCCCACTCTTAGAACTCCTAGGCCTGCCCTGATTGAATGAATTCTGAAGATCCAATTTTAGACGACTTACTCATACATTTCGCGTGGTATATTTTCAATTGTTGGTAGAATATTCAAATTAAGGTCAGATATTGTTTGTGACTTATTTCTGTAAACCAATGATTTCATATGACCCTACAGAAAAATGTCCAATGGGTTGAGATCACATATCATTGGTGGCCAGTTGACAAAATAATTCTCAAAATAACCCGGCAAGGGAGTTGTTGTTGCAATAAATCAATTGTTTGATAAGGTGTGTGATAAGTCGCACCATCTTGTGAAAAGAAACACATTGTCTATGTAAACTTCTATCAGTTTAGGCGGAAGATTTTCTGTTTGCATATCCCTGTAAGACTCTTCATTAACAGTACTACGATTTCCATCATCCTTAAAAAAATAAGGTACTATAATGCCTTGACTCCAAAACCACACCATACGGTGGACCTTCTGAGGATAAAAGGGCACCTAATGAATCACTCGAGGATTTTTATAAGACCAAATTCTGCAATCATGTTTGAGCCATAATCCATGTGCTTCATGGAAAAAAAAATATTTTTTCCTCAAATTGTGAATTGAGTTGTAACTGTTCACCCCAAGCTCAATTTCTAAAACTATTTGAAATTTAATTTAAATAATTGTCTATTTCCCTCTGTTTGCTCATACACTTTTAATATATATTTTATAAGAATTTAAATTAATTCACTGTAACTGGTTTAATTATTAGTTGTTGGTTGGTTGAATGATTTCCGGGCTGGTTGCTACGTCGTCGATTAACAACTCTTGACGTTTTGAGAGACATATCGGTCTCTTCTTCAGAAGTTCTGAAACACGTTTTGCTTGTTGAGTTGTTTCACATGTCGTTTTAGTTTTGGAAACAGAAAGAGATTGTTTTTGGAAACTTACTTTAGTTTTATTTGTTTGTCATTCAACCATTAACGACAGCCATGAAAGCCTACAAACAAAACTGGTTTATTTATTAATTTTTTTTGTGAATACATTTTATACGCTTTATGTTAAATCTAAATGTGTTTAAGCTCCTAGGAAATTCTGCCCTATTAGGTTGCTGAAAAATGACATAACTTTTTTATTATTATTTAGGGATATCCTAGGCCACAGTGCGAAGGGTGGTTGGAATTAATTCGACAAAAATATCAGAAACTCGAAGAGGAACCTCAGTATTGGGAGTGTCGAGCTGCCATCGAACAGTCCAGAGGTAATATTAGTAACGCTGTCCAATGTTATCGAACTGCCATTGTTCAGGGAGCAGAGGTAAATATATATTTTTTTTTTGTTAAAGAAATTAATTTTTTCTCTTGCTAGAACTGTAAATTAATTTTGAGGATTTTTTTCTGTAAATTTGATGGTTTATTGTGCAAAATTGTGTACATCATTATTTTTCAAAGTATTGTCCATTACTTTTCCCCATTTTTCTGGCAGCATATAGCATAAGAAGAACTTATCTTTTGATGCTATCCACCAATCCATTCAATTTTTCGTATCTTCGTAAGATCGAACAAATAGTAATCCGATGGAATAATATCTGGTGAATATGGCGGGTGGGGTAAAACATCCCATTTCAGCATTTCTAAGTATTTTTTGACTTCATGAGCAACATGTGGTCGAGCATTGTCATGTTGAATAATTACTTTGTAGTGCCTTTGCTCGAATTGCAGCCATTTTTTCCTTCAATACAGGGCTCAAAGGCATCAATTATGTTCGGTGTTATTCACCAGTGATGTTTTCATTCGGTTGAAGCAGCTCATAGTACACAACACCTTGCTGGTGTCACCACAATTTTCTGCACTTCAGATTATTACAGCTTATATATTTTTTATCGCCAGTGATGAATACGATGCAAAAAACTCTTAATTTTTTGCTGTTGAAGCAATTGTTCACACGTAAAATATTGCCATTCAACATCTCTCGGCTTCAATTCATATGGCACCCAATTTCCTTGCTTTTGAATCATACCGAGTGCATTTAAACGTTTGGAAACTGTTGTGCGATCAACATTCCACGATTCAGCAAGTTCATTTGACTTCTAAAATGTTGAAACCAATACTCATACGTTTTTATCGATGGAGTATGTCCACCGTAAGTTTCTAATAACATTCGATGACTTTAAGCTGTACTTTTCTTTGAATTAAACAGGAAAAGTAAAACTTCCCGCAAATGGTGTTTTCTTGGTTTGTAATTTGACATCAGATACGTTTTTCTCATTGTCGTTATTATTATAATTTATTAATTACTAATTACGGTTAACTATTGCAGATCACTATTAAAAACTACGTGAAAAGAAAATATTATACTTTTTATTAAACCAATACAATAAATTTTGCTAAAGAAATGACACGGAGATCCAAAATTCAAAGACCCAAAAAACAATATGACATGCTTTGTCCTCTATTCGTTCTGTCTGGATTTTTACATTCTTATAAAATCTACATTGTAGATTCAATCTGTCGATGAATCCCTCGACATTCTCCTGCAGAAGTTCAGTCTGTTAAACATCAGCACTAAAGATGTCGCGAATGAAAAATCTGTAAATGAAAGAGCAAGGATTGTGAAAGACGCAAGGAACGTCTTTAAGTCGTCCATCATTCAATTCGCCGTCCAAGAAAGGAAGTTGAAAAAGTAAGTGAAAATTAGTGTATTTACTTAATTGTTTTGACAATAACTAAAGCTTCTAAAGCTTCTGAGTTCCATTTTTGGTAATATAGTGTCTCAATGGAACAGCTCTATTGTTCAGTAAAAGCGCAGTATTTGGTTAGGTTAGGTTATAATTTTATGAAATTATTTCAAAATGTCCTTAATGTATCATCTAAAAAAATTCATATTCATACAAAAGTTAAACTTTAAGAACTATGTGTAACACTACATACATGATCTTTGTTTACTACAGTGATAAGCAGTTTTCGACAAGTTTTCTATTAAAAACATGCATATTTATCTTGTTTGACTATTACATTTTTTTCAAAAAAAAAAATGCTTTATACTGCAGATTGTACATACCACTGTTTAATATATATGTATGCATTTAATATTCACGTTTCATAATGTTTTAATGAATTGTTATATTCGGAGAGTAGATATATGTGACTACTTTTAGGGATGGAAGCATAAAAAATGAAAAAAAATTTGTAGCTACGCCAGTTAGAAGAAGTACACGACTTTCTAGATCTGCTTATACTTCTACACCTAGCATCAAACTTTGTTCTTCCCTTCAAGAATTGGAAACTACCGATAGGGAAATGTTGGATTTCAAAAAGAATAAAGCGCTTTTATAATTTTTTTGTTTATTTTAACAATCACTAACCAAAAATTAATGTATATAACGTTGTTTTTAATCTAAACTTATTTACTTAATATTGCATCTACTAAAATATGCTGTATTGTTTTTTACTTTTTGATATATTGTTTTGTGATTTATATTTGTATTATATAGTATCCATTTGTTCAATAAACAGATTCACTAATTCCATAGATTTTTTTTATAAAAAGTTGATATTGTAAAATATGTAAGGATTATTACTACATAGGCCGATAAAGTGTAACCGAGCTAAACCAGAAATCGGACTTTTCCCGAATGTTTTCGATGCGCTGAATCCAAATCTGACCTCAGAATCGGTCCTTGTTACATCACGTCAGGTTTTCGAGATGTCCTAACCTAAATGTGCGAAAAATAGGTTTCTTCATTATATCCAATATTACTATTATTATTATTGATATTCGCAAATTGGGTAGTACCAGTTGAAAACTCAAAAAGTGAAATATCACATTACAAAACTGCAAAAATGTTTTCTAAAGTTTTCATTCTTTATTCCATCCGGCCATCCGCTATACTCGATCCGCAATTTTGAATTTTATGATTATGACTTCAGACTAGATTCGCAATCAGCGATCCCGGAAAACTGAAAGTGGGAATTTATGTGTTTGTAATTTGATTCTCCTCTTTTTTTGAGTCTTCACCTGATGTTATAGTCGTTACGATATCATGAATGAATGAATTTCCCGCTTTTAGGTTAATATATCTCGAAATCCTTATGTGTTGAAGCAATTTTGAGGTCGGGTTGGATATGGATCAGAGCGTCAAAGCCTTTGGAAAAGTATAGTCTTGTGTCTGATTTAAAATTTTGTTGGTCTGTGTTATTATAGATAATATAAAACCTGCAAAATATATTTTAACTACATCTTAATGGTATTTATTTTCAATTAAAATTTCGGTACCAACGATATATATGTAGCAACTTTGGGTTATTATACAATCGAATGAACGGTAATCCCCTTTCCCTTATATGAATAAAAAATGTTCTGTGATTCGAACTTTTGATCATGATCATATATTTAATATAGCCTTAAAATTGTGGTGGCTTCTTTTTTCTCGAATGCAGTTACTGTTTTTATTTTAATTGTGCACAGAAGAATAGGTATACCTAACTGATTTAAAATCGAATTAAATGTCGATAGTAAATAAAGTCCTGTTCGCTTCGAAATTGGACTCATGGATCTACTAGTTCGTGATTGTCTGATCCCGATTTAGTGATCATGATTCAAGCTGAGAGCAAAAGAAAACGGCTATTTTCATCTGACAACACTGCACGTCAGGTAATGAACATGTCAAAATTGAGCTAACCTAACATTTCCAAAAATTATTTTTTATAGTTATTCAGAAATTATTTGTACGAAATGACTCTTTATCATTTTGGAAATTGTGTCGCTTTAATTTACGTACCATATTATTTAACGTACAAACAATCAGGATTGTAATACTATTATGTTCTGCTTTTGAAACACTTTTTGAACTTGTCGTTTTTAGATCTGAATACGGAGCATTTTGGAAATGTATTCAAGCGGGGCTGATTTATATGTTTACACAGCTGGCAAAAATGCTAGTATTAGCAACATTTTTCCCAGACAACGTCTCGGATTTTGGCAGCGATTTAATAGGTGTAAGTAAAAAACCACAGTTTTGATTAGTTCCATTTTCATACATAATATTTTAGGAATTTTTAAAATCAACAGTTGACTTAGCCGATCTAGTAGGCTTATATTTGGTACTGTCTGGTATTCCGGGTAAAGGACACAGTAAAGTTCTCACTGCTGGAATAGGATGGGCTACTGCAGAGGTCATTCTCTCCCGAGCATTATTATTATGGGTCGGTGCGAGAGGTGCCGAGTTTGATTGGATCTACATCCAGAAATGCCTTGAATCGAATATCTTGTTAGTGCAACACATCGTTACAGCCACATTAGTCTGGCTATGGTCACGTCATGATTTAAAGAAAAATCTGAAGACTATCGTCACCGTTTTGTTAGTATTTACGTCTTACAAGTCTCTGTTATTGGACTTGTTAATTGCAAGTGTTAGTGCAGGGCCCTGGCTTGGTTTGTTTATTAAGGCAATCGTAACAATGTTTTACGGATGTGTTACTCTCGCTGTATATGCAGGACTTGCGCAAGTTATTGGAATTTTTTAGGTGTTTCGTTAGCAGTGCTTTGTGTTATGAAAAGAAAAATCTGTGATTTTCAGTTTCACTTACTCTTGGCAATGATGAAAGTCGTCTGGATGTAATTTGTATCTTATAAGTATTTGTAGCGATGATTTCTTGAATAATATATGATCTTCATGTTCATTTTCATCACTTCTGCCATTATTATTGTATTAGCTGACCTATTACAAGTGACCCCTTCTATTTTCTACATTATTCTCTGACATAGAGGGTGATTTACAAATGGTGACCAAAAATGAAACCTCGAATTCTTTGGTTAATTTTAAGGGGAGTTTTTCCTATAAAGTTTTTATCTAGGACGCTTGGTTTTTAAATAATTTAAAAAAATTAAAAATATTTTTTCAAGTTTAACACCATCGTATCTTTTTAACGAAGCGTACTAGATAAAAACTTTATAGGAAAGACTCCTCTTAAAATTCACCAAAGAATTTGAGGTTTCGTTTTTCGTCACCATTTGTGAATGACCCTGTATGAAAAAGTATGTAAAAATAAAAGTTGTAGACAGAACACTGCACTACAAAAATTTTTTTGTTTCTATTTTGCTCGATTAGCGGCTTGTCAGATCACACCAGCTGATTCACAAACTAAACATGGTGCTTGAAAAAGAAAAACTACTTGCACTACTTTTTCCTACATCAAAAATTTACAAAAAACAAGATAGTAACAATTATGATGTACTGTACAGTAGGTACCGATTAAAATGATTTCTGGAATGGGTTAAATGAGACACCTGTAAAAAATTACTATTTTAATTGCTAATAATAATAAATATGATAAAAATAATCACAATTTATGGTTTATTAACTAATTATCTTGTTTTGTCTTTCTGGGACAACCATCCAGTTACATTATTAACAATATAATGTATAACTATAATAACATAGTATACTAAAAAATAATCAAACAGAATTCATAGACAGGAAAATGTTATTCGTAAAAAATCGACACGCCCATCAACGTCAAGCAAATAGTGTAAAACAGTAAAGTTCATGACGTTTGTCGAATTTTATTACTCACATCAGAGAGAACAGTTTGGGTTTCAGGTTATTTAAATTCATGTTTGAAATTTTGAGGACTGCTGATTTTTGTAGATTTCAAAAAATAATTTGGCGGATGCTGTGAGTCTCCATTAATACAGAGGAATTTTACTTATGCCTCTTTTAAACCCTAGAACAACTAGAAATAATTCAGTAAAGCGAGAGAAAATTTGTTTTTTTTATACATTTCACAACTTTAGAAAATATGAAATGGTACGATAACCATCCTTTTGTGTATTTATAACATCAATTTTAACTTATTTATATAATATTGTTTATAAAAAAAAATTATCGAAATTTTTTTTTAAATAGTTTTTATAGACGATCAATTTTCACACTGCACATTCGAGTGTGTATAGTTGAAGTAATTTAGGAAAAATACAAAATTAGTAAAAACTTCAAACTGCATTTATTTAAATTCACAAGTAACTTTATAAAAGAAAGATGAGATACCGACTTTTACAGTTTTGCAAAAAATATATTATATATATAACCATTTTACGTGATTTTGTGGCGATTTTTTACCCTAACAGTTTTCGATCGCGTTGTGATATATAATATATACATGTCGATACAACCGCAGGGGATCATTATGAAGCAGAGCATCCGGCGGGTCCGTCTAGTACGTCATCCTCGTCGTTGCTGGCGCTATCTGAGGAAGACGAGCTCGCGGAACTGCTGTAGTTAGTCTGCAGTTGAAGGACGAAATTTTCCGTGTCGCTGGCGACGACTCTCTGAAAGAACGCTCTTTTAACACGTTAATGGAAACGAAATTTTTATAATTCGGCTTCTATTTCTGTTATTGTTATTACAGGGTGTATTCCAGTCTAGAAAACTAAGGATTATCTGGCAATTCCAATCAGTATTTGGAAATATCAAGGAATTTGTATAATTTTCAATTTTTTTTAAAATTCCAATTGTAATTGGAATTAAACAGGTGTCTTCACAGGATCTCCGGTTACAGAAAAGTGAGTTCCCTACAGACATTTCAATTTAATTGACAATTCAAACAAAAAATTTATGTTCCTCACCATTTTAAAAAATTTATAGAAATTACTCTTAAAACTATCATACTGGGTATTTTTATTATATAACTTAATTTTCATATTCAGCCTATGTAATATTCCAATATGTCGTCAATTAACAAAATTTAAAAATGTCTCATATGAGCTATGCACTATCGAACTAAGGTCAATTTTACAAAATTTAAGATGGCAGATCCAAGATGGCCGACCAAATTTTTAAATAATAACCCATTCGCGCTAAATTTAGTACACGGGAGTTTTCGGGGTCGCTGATCACGGATCCGAGGTAAATTTTGCAAAATTCAAGATGGCCGAACAAATTTTCAAAAAACAACATTCGCGCCAAATTTGGTATACGGGAGTTTTCGGGGTCGCTGATCACGGATCAGATGTAAATTTTGCAAAATTCAAGATGGCGGATCCAAGATGGCCGACCAAATTTTCAAAAAATAATACATACGCGTAAAATTTGGTATACGGGGGTTTTCAGGGTCGCTGATTACGAATTTGAGGTCAGAATTGCGAAATTCAATTTGTATTATTTTTGTTTACTTTATAACCTGAATACCCAATCATGTTTTAACCTTCTTAAAGTACATAGGTAATTGATTAAATTTTTAAAAACGAATTTTGTAAATCTGGCCATCTTGGATCCGCCATCTTGAATTTTGTAAAATTGACCTCGGATTTGTAATCATCGACCCCGAAAACCCCCGTATACGTAAATATGGTGCGAATCTGTTATTTATTGAATAATTTTTTATAATAAAATTGATACAAAAAAAAAACTGAGTGCATAATTTCTGCTATTTTTCAAATTATTGAAACTGGATTACGCCATGCAATCAATTGATTTTAATTTATTTACTCGAAAACGGTGCGTCATAAGAAAAATAGTTGAGATACCTTTTCTCTTCCAAATTGAACAAGGAATTCAAAAATAATTTTTATTTTAAGAAAAATCAGTGGCGTTTTTCTTTTAAACATCTGAAGAAGTGCCTGTGCGCACGCCACTGGTAAAACTGAAAATATTTTTATCATAAAACATATTGTTGTTAAGTGTCAAAGCCTGTAAAAATTCATTAAAATAACCTGAGCAGTCTCCAAAATATTTTTAAATTTGCATTTTTTTATTAAAACTTTAACACCCTGTAGATCGGAAACTAAGCATTTTCGGGATATGGTATATTAAGGAAATATATCACAAATCACTTGTACTACAACCTCCTGCAAGGAATGCATCGACTTACTAAACACCCTGTATACTGATAGGAATCCCAGCCCAACAAAATTATTTCACAAACACAATATTTCATTAAACAAAAATATAAGTTTAATAATTCTGTGTATAACAAAATGTGTGTTTGTTTGTTTACAAAAAGATTCAAATTTTGCCAGGATGCATGTTTTGCATCTAAACCATCTTTTTCTATCTTTTCCGGAAATAGGAGAAACCCTTTCAAAAGTGTCGAATGTGGTCCACCCTGTACAATTTTCGAAATAACTACACTTTGTTAAACATTTACGTAATAGATACCAACAAAAAAAAAAACAGTGCTCACTGAAAAATAAAAATTAATATAGAGCACAAATATTTCAAATCCATCCGAAAAACCTGGAAATATCAGGAACTCTTTGGTCGAGATCTGGTACACACCCTGTTATTAGCAAACACATCCTTACACTACAGAATCTCACCCGCATGTGGTTGGTGCTCCTCAGGTGCCTCCACAGCATCCACAGCATCTGGCTCTCATTGATGTCGGCGGATGTCGTGGACCAATTCGCCCGCGACTTATTGTTGTTCTTTATCGTCTGTGCGAGTTCCGGCATCGTTGGTTCATTCTCGCAGGACGGCACCCACACCTTTACGTCCCAGTCCAGGCCACTGGTGCATATGAAGGGAAGCTGAGGGTGCGGCTCGAGACAGTTCACCTGTTCCAGGATTAAAAACAAATTTGTGTTTTGATTAGACACGTCAACTATAAAATTAAAATTACATTTTCTCCTACGTTTCAAAGACAACACTTCGCATTTCAGTGGCCAAGTTTGTACATTTTTTCATCAAATGAATATTAAATTTTTCACAAACAGAATGGAAACAAATTTGATCCTCACGGGTTTCAATAATTCTCTATTAAAAAATTTTTTCCCTCACTTTTATTTGAATATATTTTTTGTGTGTTTCTTGAACAATAACGGAGCAACTGCGTTCTGCAGTAGTACCAGACCACCTTGTATGCATAGAAGCAAGCAAATCGCATTTCGCACTTACCACGCCGTTATCGTCCGCGAGCATCCACTGCACTATCGCCTCAGTGTTCTTCTCCCAGAAGTAAACGTTGCCACAATCGGAGCCGCTGACGACGAACTCGGACCTGGGCCCAAAGAAATTGACACCCTTTATCGTGGCCCCGTTTCTGTGGCCCTGGTATTGGTGGACGAAGTTGCCTGGGGGAGCGTTCACGTCGAACAGATAGATATCGGCGTCATTGTAAGAGGCAAGAATCTCGGACCCGTCGTGGTTGTAGACGGCGCAGGTGACGTGCAGACCCGCATATTCGGACTGATTCTGTAAAAAATTATATCAAGTAAATTTCGATTCGATTTGGGGGGAACTGCTTACTCTTTTGAAAGGGTGGTAAGTGGCTAGGGGATCGTTACTCTTTCTTTGGTCGTAGACCCTGACGACGTCGTCTCTGCCGCTGACACAGAATTCCTGGGTCTTTAAAGGGTGTCCGTGTATGCTGTACAGTGCGACTTCTCTGTCGTCGTCCCGGACTTGGACTATCCTGGAAATTTCATACGACAGTTAATATTATCAGCAAATTTTTTTTTTTAATGTTAATTTACTTCAGAAAAAAATTGCAATACTATTGAATCATAGATGCACTTGGATGACTATGTCATTTGTATGTACATGATAATTAACAACAAAATATGTGTCTTTTAACGAAAATGAGGGAAAGAAAAGTAAAACACAGACATGGTGTAACTTTAAGTGAGGGTCACATTTTAAGGGGTAATGTTGCCCGTAATACTAATCTGATATTATTTTTTTAATCAAATAGTTGTTATAAATCTTTTTTTAAGACGCATTTAAACCGTCAGGTAAAAGGTGGATCATATTTTTTACTAAATTTATTTTATAGTCATTGGGTAAAATAATTTCTATATTTTTATAGAATTATTTTATTTTTTTTTTCAAATTAACTTACCTCTCAGGTTTATTTTTGCGGACATCGTGGCTAAGCACCAGGCCGTCTTCTCCTGCACTGAGGATGATGTGGGGCTGTTCGGGAAGTACGGCGATCTTGTGGCAGGGTCCTCTGTGCGAGCCCAACTTTCTGTTATCACGAACTCCTTCTTCCCTCGAAATTTGAGCAATTCTCACCTCGAAAGCAAAGAAGTCTTTTGATAAATTCCATGCAGATATATCGGTTTACTTTGTTGTCAATTGACTCTCTACATTTGATTTGACTTTGAAGCAACCTTAATTTAGACCTGATTGGGTCAAACGGACGTCAGATTCAGATTCATCAACCCAAAAAATGGATTGATATATTGGTTTACTTTGTTGGCAATTGATTCTCACATTTGACATTAATCTGACCCAGATCTGATCGGGTCAAACACCGGATTTGAATTCAGAGACCTCAAGAGCTTATACCATGATCCTATCTTTCGGATCTCTTACTTTTTTTCGTGGGGCTGTGTAATTGCCAAATAAAGTTGTTTTTGTACATGTTTGTTTTTGTAACAATTTAATAAAAACGTGCTTCAAAAGCAAAAGTTCATATAAAAAAAATATTCTTACATTTCAACAATTTCAGTAAGAATTGCTAAAATTCTTACCTGTCCGTCCCTAGCCGATGTGGCGATATGTAAATCCCCGCTAAGATTCAGGAACTTGCTCTGGAAGATATTTCCCCTGTGCTTGGTATCATATTTCAACAGACACTTGCCGATCTTCCAATCCCAAATGACGACCTTGAGGTCGTCCGAGCCGCTGGCCAAGAGCGACCCGTCGGGGTGGAAATTCAAACTATTTACACAGCCGTCATGTTCTTCTAATTTATACATTAACTCTAACCTCTGTACACTGTGCAGCGAGCCGTAGCAACGTCTCTGGAACAGCTCGGGGCTCTGGTATTTGGAACTGACGCCTACCTGTCTCGTTACCACCTCAGGGATTATGAACCACTTGTGTTTCGGCTTGGGCTTCTTCAATGTGGGGTGCACCTCTTCGTCGGAATCCGTGTCTGTGTCGTGTATCACTGTGGAATCGGAGCTGGCCGGACTCGAAAGAGGGAGCATGTTGTCTTCAGATTCTTCCTCCCGCATCGCAGAATCTTCTTCGTTATCACTGAGAAGGAAGTTTATTTTAGTATATACTAGGTGTTTCAGGATTAATCGGCAATTTTAAAATTCAAATCCTAGTGAAACATATTTAAGACATTTGATACAAAGTGAAGAAACTTGGGCCAATTATTTATTTTCAAATTTTTACGGTTGTAGGCCATCAGGATTTAGGGAGCATTATGATCAACACCCTCAGGTTTAACAAACTACGCATTTATCGTTATTATTTACTACATAAAATACTTTTACAAAATTAAAAATTTCCAAATTAATGACTCTTTTGGACTTTCCATAAATAAAAATTTAAAGTTGTATTTTTCTAAGATAAAAAATAATTATGGCCTTTTTGCCACATAAGTAGTTCTAGAGTTACTTTAGATTTATCGTTTGAAAACAGTTAAAAAAAAATAACTCGAAAAGGGCCAGAATTCTGTGGCTCTTAGTGACTCCTGGTCTACTTTTGTCAAAAGCTGTCAGGTATTTCAGAAAATGTAAAATTTTTGAAATATCAACATGCTACAAGATTTCGATGATACTGCCAAAAAAAATGTTTAAAAATCTATGACGTTTCCCAAACAAAAGACAATAGAGCCACAGTCATAGAGAAAAATTGTATTATTTTGTAGTTTTACTAACTCCATAATTTATAATACCTTATTCCAAAACACCTTGTATAATATTTTCTCAACAGATGATTTCAGTTGAAACTAAATTACATCTTAGTTTGCACAGTCTACTTTTTATATTTTTCATATTCTTCAATTTAAAATAAACTAAAAATATTTTTCGGCATTTTAACACCATTAAAATATCGATCTTGAAATTGTAAGCCGTAAAAAAAATGTTACTGTTTATTTTTATAAACTAATCGCAGATGATGCATAATGCCAACTCAATTCTAGAAAGAATATGATAAAGTGCCTTTAGGCCTATGAAAGATAAAAATCTGTCTATTTTATAAAGCCCTATATATTTATCGAATTACTTACATCAAAGTGTCTAGATAGAGAAGGCTATGATGTCAGTTGCCAGGTTTTAGGAAACTGGCCAAGGAATTTTACAACAGATATATCTGTGCATAATTAATGGGATAAACACAAAATATGTTTCAATAGCATTTTATTCAATTTAAAATCGATTCGGAACAAATGTATTGCCAAATATTGCAATAATTTGAAAAATTATAAATATCACAAATTACACAATATCTGTAAAGTCATGCAAGCACATTTGGTTAATGTTTTTATCTAAAAACAAGGTCAATTATTAATTTATGTTAAATTTATCTAAAAAAAATGGATCCCCGTACACAGTGGCTAAAACACAACACAGTTATGTGCAAAAAAAATTAACTCTATTTTATTTAAGAGAACTGTTTTTGTATATTTTTTTAGATTAAAGGTTCCTAAACTGATTCCTTTTAATTTAAACATAGGTATCTTTTGAAGATATAAAAACAAGCATGTTAAACTGAACTAAATACTGTCTATCATTACCTGCCCATTCAATTAAAATAGTTCTTGTCACATAAACAAAAAAATCAGCATCTATTTTAAATCACTTGTGGACAAGATAATAAAATTTATCACACTGACTAAACATTGTACCTAGGCACTCAAATTAACTTCCTGTTATAAATACAAGTATTATTTTTGAAGTATAGTAAAAATAAATACCATACTTTTAATGTTGCAATAACATTTTATATAAAAAAATATTTTTTTTACTAAGATCTGTTACTGTCAAATTTTAATTATTGAGAGCACTTTTTTGGCAAAAGTCCAGTGAAAAAAAAAAATAAAATCTACCTTTGGTTTTCCTGTGCCTCATCGCTAGTCCTTGTTCGATAATTTCTGTGTTTGGAGTTTCGGCTTCTGGGAAAACCACTATCGGTACTGGTACTAGCACTTTCCTGTTCTGTTGTGTTGGATGAACTTGAAGATTCCTCAGACTTTTCCAGACATCCACTATCAGTCTTTAACCTTTTCGCATTTTCTGTTGGGCTATCTGGGCTGTCTGAAGGTTTTTCCCTATTGTCATCATCTGACATATTTTCTTCCATAGCTGGTTCTAAAAATAATATAAAAAGACGTAGATAAATTTCTGGAATAAAGAATGGTTATCAACAATCTTAAATACACGTTATTATAAAATTATAATTATTGATCTTACGTTACTATATAGTTTTTTTTTGTTACCAAAAGAAAAAGAACCTGTTTATTTTCAGTACAAAATTAAGCCAATCTGACATATGTGACAACAAAAATGTGGCTTACCAACCCTCCTTCCTTGCGTCAAGACTAGGATGGGTCAAAAGTTCCTAAGTGCTGCAAGAATTTTCAAATGTGAACTGCATATACAATTAATATTTATTTTATTTCCGTTTAATTCAGTTTAGTTAAATTACGAGAAAAGTTACAGAATAGTAATTGTGCATTTAATTCAGGGCAACAGCTTTAAATTAAGAGCAACAGCCAAGATCAACAAGCATTTCTTAAAATTATAATAAACAGATCATTTTCTTGGCAAACAGCTGCTTTTAACACTGTCATAAATAAAAGAATGTCACCGATAGATGGCACTTTCTGTGCTAGAACATATTTTAAATAAAACTTAGAATTAACGTTAATTATTATTGTTATATTATAAACTATATTTCTATTATTTGAAACACATTATTTTTTACTTAAAGATAAAACAATTCTTTATTTATAAAATCACAATTTTATATAATAGTAATTAGAAGCAGCGATAACGATATATTGCCATCTCTCGGTAAACGTTAGAAATAATAAATAATAGTGTTGGTCACTATTTGTGTATAACGCCTATTTTACTTTTTGTCTTCGAAAAACCTAAACCTAAAATCCTTATTATTAATGTAAAACAAAAATATTTTCCTTATTTCTTTCTGTATACATATTTGAATTCTTTTCCACCTTAATTAGGGATCTACATTCTAATTTGTTTCCTGGTTAAATTTTTCAAACGCTGTCATCTAGATAGCGTGCCTTCCCTTAACATTTTGAAACAGATTTAAATTGTTGTGACGACGACTTATTTGAACGGTATTTTTGCTTTTCGCTGTTTTAGGTAAGTGAAATTTAAATAGTTTTGAATTTTAAGCAATCAGTAAACGATCTGAAATGTGAATAATACCTAGGTAATGACAGCGAGTTTTTGTTCTTGTTTGTTTTTGTGTGACAAAAAGAGAGGTTGGGACAGGGGACTGCCCGGTATGAGTAAAAAAAACGCATCACGCTTGAAACTGCCCTCAACAAAATAAATTTTTCGCCGATCGACATCAAAAGCGTAGTTTTAATGAAAGCTGTTAGACACTAAAGTAGGTATCACATTTACTGCCTAGGCATTAGAATAATTTTTTCTGTCGCTAAATTAAAAATTAAAATTTATTTGTTGTTTGTTTATATGGACTTACATACCTAAATTATTTACATAATAATGCTTATCTCATAGCAACCACAGATAACCTGATGAAATTATTATTATTAATGAAAAAAGTGTCATACAATTTTAATAATATAAAATATAACTTTGTTTCTTGTTATAAAATTAAAATTGATCGGTGAAAATATTATGTGTTTAACTTAGCAGTAAAGTAGATTTAATGCCTCGGCTGCACCTCGTCTATTAAATAGCAGCCGCGGCAATTAATTCTGTACATTACTGCCTAAATAAGTAACTATTTTCCATAGTGTTAAGAAAGTTAAAAGGACGCTCCGCTCCTTCTGATCATTATTGCTGTGACCAATTTGGAAAAAGCCGGCCGACACGACTACGAGAATCGCCTCCAGGTGAGTTTTATGCCACTCGAATATAACTTTCATTTTCGGCTTTAATTTTATTTTTCTTTGATAAATATTACTCAGTTTAATTGATAATTCTTAAGCACTTATCTATTTGTAGTTTTGCATTAAATCTATCGAACAACAGAGCTGACGTTCAGAGAAGTAAGAGTAAAATTAAAACAAATTTGTTACGAATCCATTTCTTTAATGAAAATAATGTACATGTTATTGCCTAGACCACCATTATATTACACTTCTGAATAGGGTCTTATACATCTCAAAAACTTTAGATTACTAAATAGTTACAAAAGTTCTAAAACTGAATTTTTACTCAATACGAATTTGTAAAACAGTTCAAATTCAATTTTTGAATGCAACTGGCCTCCTTCCCCAGTCACAAGTATCTAAACACATTTATACTACACACATATACCTACTAGACTAAGTCCTATGGGAGTTTTACATTTCACTTTACAACTTTCCAGGGTAATCGTAAGTAACATTACTGGTGTAGCTGAATGTACATAATACTAAAACCACACATTGATATGACGTTGATTGTTCAAAATGTTCACAGACAAAATTATAAGTAATATCTAAAATACTGTACAACTATAACGTAGTACGATATGTGCATTGGGTTGGAAAAATTGGCCTCTGAACATTTCTGCGGACATATATATTCACGAGTACTATACTTAGTTTGCTTGAACACAGATATAAGAATAGGTATGTGTGCTTAAGCAAGTGCCCAGTTAAACCGTGCCGCTTTCAAATATATTTCACCTGAGACGCAACATAGCGGAACGGTTCGAGTGGTGATGGTAAATGTATAAGAAAACAAACACTATTGGGTAAATATATGTGTGTAAAGAAATAAACGGGAATACGGACCCTATTCCTCCCAACATTTCAGGCCTAAAACCAAGAGAGTGCGTCGATCCCTGCGAATGGAAATTATAGTACAAAATTAACTTACAAAACAAAATTTATTTGGTGATATCGCGCTGTTCTCATTAATATCAACAATCGTTTAATTTTAATTAGGAACTTTAAACATCTCTAAATTGGTCCTCGTAAAAAAAGAACCACTAAATTCGATATATACACTGACGTACATACAAAGAGCAGGTTAATAAAAGTCATATACATTGGGTACTAAACAAATGGCTATGTCTAGAATACTTATATATTTACCATTATAACATGTATCTATCTACAAATTGTACACGATTAGCAACTGACAGTCAATCAAATAGATAATAATATGAGACCCTGCTTAACGAATGAATGTCACCTGCCAATCTCTAATCGGTCCCTCTTCTCGCCAAGCTGGTCATAATTTTCCGTGCCTTCCTCACACAAACTTTCATAAAAATAAATTCAAGTTTATTTTTAAAGTACAACCAATTTTAATGTGTCTGTTCTGTATAGCAGTGAAGAAGTCTCAGGAAATTTGTTTCTTTGCTTGAGGGAAAGAAAGGATCTTACAATCAAAAACGATTGTTTATTTACAGTGATATAATAATATATAATAATTATATAAAAAGTGATATTACAATTTTTACAATAAAATAAAACTATAAAACAAAAGGTGTTAATACCTACCTACACGCTATATATATGGACATCATAAGTATTTTTGGCATAAATAACAACAGACCAGTCGAATCATTCAATGAAATACGTGGTTAAAATGTGACTAAACTACGCATTAGGAACTTATCAAGTGGAAGACGGTTAGTACAACGTGAGGACGAAAAGGTGCAAATAAAATTTGTAAAATAAATAATAAGCACGAATGTACATCGATATTTCCATGGGGATATAAATGATTATGTTCGACTGAGATCCAACACACAAATATTGAATGTCGAAAATACTGACTAAAGATGTCATCCACGAAAAGTTCAGCATATATAAAAACCAGAACGTCCCTTGGATCCGCCTCGTATTTTACACGATTTCTGCACAGTCGTCTATAATACACAGAGTAACGGGCAACTCAATCTCATTGCACACAGAGAAACCGATTATTCCAGGTAGTGATCGGCGAAGAAGTTGACGTGGTGTCATTCCTGCTTCACCATCACATTGGGGTTGTAGTTGTGTCCACTGGACGTCACCAAGGACAGAGGACTAGTCGCCAGGGTGTTGGCGATGTGGAACATGTTTCCGTTGCTATTCCCCACAGAGCAGGGTGATCCCATTGCCGCCGTAGGGGGGTTTATCCTCTTCTCCTTCTGTCTTCTGTTACAGAACCATACCCTCACCACTTCCTTTTCCATGCACAGTCCATCGGCTAGCATTGTGATCTCTTCGGAGGTTGGTTTCGGATTCTGCATAAATGCCTTCTCTAATGCTACTCTGACACTGGTTTCTATCGAGGTCCTCTTCTTCCTTCTTCTTCCTATAGTTTCGGGTGTTGTCATGGGATTACTGAGCGCTCCGGGGTTAGTCAGAGTACTGTCGGCGTCTTCCAGCCACTTCTGAAGCAACGGTTTTAACTTGCACATGTTCTTGAAGCTCAGATTTAGCGCCTCGAACCTGGATATCGTCGTCTGGGAGAAATCGTTGCCATAGAGTTTTCCCATGGCTAATCCCACGTCACCTTGCGTAAAACCTGCAGAGAAAACCACAAATTAAAACATTAACAGAGGGCTCGGATTAGGTCCTTGTGGAACACTTTGTACTCACCTAATTTGATTCTACGTTGTTTGAAGGTTTTGGCGAATTGTTCCAGCTCCTCAAGGTCCGTGGTTTCTTCTGGCGAGGGTTCCAGGATTCTGGAAGGGGTTTTCAGGTGTTGCGGCGTCAAACCCCCAGAGCCTGGAGTGCTGGGTGTCAGCATACTGGCAGGTATGTTGTGTGTGTTGTTTGGAGGGGTGGTTTGCGTTTGGGGTAGAGGGGCATTCTGTGGAATGCTGCTGTTGTGTTGGTTCGAGTTTTGCTGTTGTGCTTTTTGTAGCTGTTGGAGCTGTTGAGCTGCTTGTGCGATCTGTTGTACCTAGAATGTAACAAGTAGCCGTTAAAATTTTAGTTCAATTTACATTTTTTTATGTAACACTAGTATTACCATCTAACATAAAGCCTAACATATCGCTTTGTGACATCACTACCACTCAATTCAATTTCAAAAATAGAAATTAGTTTTAGAGTATGTAATTCCGTTAATATTGAGTTTTTGAAAAAGTGTAACAGAAGCTTGTACCATTACTTTTATGAAAAAATTCCTTGGTAGAATTTTTGCAATTTTTTTTGCTTATAGTTTCCAGGAATTCTGTATTTTAACTGTTATATACGATTTGCCCATGATTTTTTAACTTTATTTTTAGAAAATGCTCACTTCTCGGTTATTAAATGTTGTGCAAATTTTTTTGTTCATAATTCATAATTTTGATTCTGTAAGTCACGGAAAGATACGGGTTTGTACTGTTTTATATCTTTGAATGTTTAATACAGAAATACACATTTCGTTTAGTCACTTTACCGAGTAAAATATCTGTCAGATGTGACGTCATACGGAAAGCGTTGAGGCTTTGTGATGTAGATGGTAATGACACTAAACATGTACTCGTGTGTTATGAATTGAATGTATTTAGGCAGGTGTTTGAACTGTTGCCCCGTGTGTTCAAAATTTGAAATCTGGTGTTGTCGGTTAATAATGCGTTATTTTGAAATTTTGGACCTGTCGTGTTAGCCTTTGGTGATACTTTTTTGAGAACACCCTGTAAGTTATATCCCCAAGTGACAGTAACCAACTCATTATACATAAATTTCTTGTGTGAAATCGTATTAGCCCCAGTGTGTTAGTGTTTTGTTCCAACAGAATAACGTGACGAAACCACATTACTAACATGCAAACATATCATTAGAAAACAAATTTCTAAGGGGGAAGTTACGCAACTCCTCAATGAGGAAGCAAACGAACAAATTTTGGTAATCATGCACTGGGGATAAGACAGCTTAGGTGTCCACTGTCCACACACACACCTGCATCGAATGCGACGGTCTGGAGGGCAGACCAGATCTTGGAAAGCCTTGCAGAAAGCCCTAGACAAATGACAATCGGTTACAAGCGGGATAACAGTTGAAGTTTTTGATTGTTAGATCGTAGGCGTCGCGAGGAGACAGCTAACGTTGAATTATTTTTATAGATACGGTTATTAAACAAATATATTGATATAAAATAACATATAAATATATTTGCGCTACGATATTGTTGATTAAAAGCACGAGGTCACAATTGTCTTATCTAATTGATATTGGGACACAATTGCGTGTAATGTTTAAGAATAATCAGGTACTGAGAATGATTGATTAGGTACGTTTTTGTATTCGACAATACCTTGACTCAATCAAATTTTTAATGAAATTCAATGGAATAATGAATAGTTACTTCTTTTCACTTTGTGCCGAAAATATCTAATCAGGCATTTCTAAAATTATTTCAGTTAGGTTATGTGAAAAATAGTACCTAAAAGGTGCCAAATACAGAATTTATGTTTGACCTGTTTAACATATTACATTTAGATGCAAAATATATTTTGGACAGACATTTGGTTTACTAAGGAGAATTTATTTGTGTATTTATTACTTTTATTAGTACGAGTACGAAATCTTCATTCATTTTTCTACCTACTTTCACTTCTACTTAAATCGTATTTTATTATTTTCATTTGATTATTGGATTAAATTTGACCTCTTAAATACAAAGTGTCCTGTGTATAGGTGTTCAGATCATTAAATACAATAAGTAAAAACAATGAATAAGTTTCAGATTTCCTTCTGAAGATATGAGGTGTTTGCCTCAAAAAATCTGTAGTGTTTTATCGCCGATATTGAACAATGAAAATTAATTGAACTGACCCGTATAAGCGATTTTACTAATAACTTATTATACATACAGCGTGGTAAAAAAGTTCTGCATAAAATTCATATTTTCGTTAAACAATTTTTTTTTCGAAAAACGGTGAGACCCGTAGATTTTTATTTGATCCAGGGCACCTTGTTATGTGGAAAAAATTTTTTTTTCGATAATCCACTTACGGCAGCGATGACATAATTTTTTTTTAAATGACAACGCATATTTTTTTCGTTCGAAATTGATGACAGTGATAATTATCTAAACAACGGTGTGAAAATTTCGATGTCTTACATAACAATTTTTTTTAGAAAAATGCACCTTAAGTTCTTATAAGTGATAATTGTCTACTTACACTATTAATGGCTCCGAAAAGGACAAAGTTGACAAAATTACATTTCAAACGAGTAAAATTACACTAATGTTTGTGTAAGTCTAGCGAAATTGTTCGAATTGCCCACCCTGTACCATTTGGCATTGTCCTAAGCGTGTGTAAACGCCGTCTACACTTCGTTCAAGCATTCCCGGGTCGATTTGATTTATTTCAAAACGAATACGGTTTTTAAGTTCTTCCAAATCACCTGGTCTGTTTGTGTACACACGCGATTTCAAATAGCCCCACAAAAAAAAGTCTAGAGGTGTTAAATCAGGCGAACGCGGAGGCCACTCGATTGTTCCGCGTCGCCCGATCCACCGGCCAGTAAACGTATTATTCAAGTACTCCCGTACTTGCACTCCATAATGGGGCGGTGCACCATCCTGCTGAAACCAAATTCTTTCCTCAGGAATATCAGGATCCTCGTTGTTCGGGAATAACTCTGCTAAGCTTGGGACCAAATCGAACCGCAGGAAATCCAAATAGCGAGCAGCAGTTAAATTTTCCTCGAAAAAATACGGGCCTAAAATACGACGCCCTATTATTCCCGCCCAAACGTTCACCTTTCGGGGGTGCTGATGATCTACTTCTTGCACCCAGTGCGGGTTTTCCTGAGACCAATACCGGCAGTTATGTCGATGCACCGATCCATTAAGATAAAAAGTAGCCTCGTCAGAAAAAATTATGTTCTTGAGGAAGTCGGGGTCTCCGTTACATCGATGCATTAAATCTTCACAAAAGTGGAGACGGCGGTCTGGGTCGTCCTCAGTCAATGCATGTATCAAGTGACCCTTATAGGGGTGAAATTTCTCTTTTTTGAGAAAGTTCACCACAGTTACATGTGAAATATCATTGTTCAATGCAATCGACCTTGTACTAGAATGAGGGTTGTCCTGGAGCTCCACCAGGATATTCAATCTAGTTTCATCATCTACTCTAGGACGACCCGCACGAGGAGCATCTTTCACACTACCAGTTTCCTCAAACCTTGCCAGTACCCTACTAACCGTAGATTGCGTAATTGGTGGTCTGTCAGGGTACGTTGCATTAAATAATTGGCAAGCTTCTTGATGGGTTCGTAACTTATCGCCGAAACCAATCATCCTCAAAATATCAATTCTTTCGCGTTCACTAAGTTTTGCCATTTCGAATTAAACGATTTCACCAAAGAATGTTAAATCGGTACTGATTTTTAGTCTTCAATATTTCAGGTAATCTACTCCTTTCAAGTAAACATTTCTTTGGATCTTTTTTTTTTGAGGAATTTATCGGCAAACTCGAAGACAAAAAGTCGACCTTAATTTGCTACATACTATTTGGATTTTGTGCGGTTGAACTTGGTTCTAAATTTTGCAGTTTAATCAGGATCCTGACAATATCTGATGAATAATTCCGCAAATATTACATAACACCAGTTGCAACTTAAGTTATCTGAAATGCTTTCTGCCGAATAAATTTTTTTCTAAGGCATTTGATCCGTAAACAGCAAATTATTGCATTCAAGAACTTAAGGTGCATTTTTCTAAAAAAAATTGTTATGTAAGACATCGAAATTTTCACACCGTTGTTTAGATAATTATCACTGTCATCAATTTCGAACGAAAAAAATATGCGTTGTCATTTAAAAAAAAATTATGTCATCGCTGCCGTAAGTGGATTATCGAAAAAAAAATTTTTCCACATAACAAGGTGCCCTGGATCAAATAAAAATCGACGGGTCTCACCGTTTTTCGAAAAAAAAATTGTTTAACGAAAATATGAATTTTATGCAGAACTTTTTTACCACGCTGTATATGCACCTATTTGATTGTAAAATTTTATATTCAAATCGTACGCTTTTGTCATAAATCTCGTGACGTACTAGACAAGTGATATATTATTACAGAAATCTTATAGAAGTAGCTAATCTGTTAGAGGTTTATGAAAATTTACTCCGGGTGCTCAGATTACTACTACTGTGTCCTTGTTATTCTTATTGTTTTAGAAAGTGAGACTGCTACGTCTAAATCACGATAATTTTTGGTACAACCGTATTCTTCTTATCAACAGATGGCGCAATTGAGGCATAATCTAGTAGTCACAACTGTTCTCCAAATTCGTTTCCTTTTTAATTTTTTATTAAATTGCCAGTTAAAAATAATGATTTAATAACAAGACGTTTTTCGACATCCCTTAGCTTAACCAACTGCGATTTGTTCCTAAATATGAAACATTAATTGTGCAGGAAAATTTATAAATTGTATGCGCAAAAATGTCCATTTTTTCGACATTAATTTGAGAAAAAATTGAATGAATAAAAATAAAATAATTGGATTGTTCAATTATCTTATTTTTTTTTATTATATTTTAGGAACTGCAAAATTTAAAATTAAAAAATATTTAATGGTATATTTTTTAAATATACAAATTGTTGAAGTGAGATAAATTCATGAACAAAAACAGTATTTCATCTCGATAGGAAAAACAATTTTTTATATTTGTATATAATTTTATGATCAATTTAATTCAAAATAAACATTAAATACATCAAATTATTACAATTTTTTTAGTTGATTCCAGATAGCAAGGCTTGCATTATATTCAAAACTGCACATGTCAGATATAAGATGAATATTTTAGATTCTTAAACATTTTTGGATGTATACAAAACATTTTCCGTTGAAATTAGTTAATTTATAGAGGTTCATTCAAATTTTGTATTTTAATTAAAAAAATAATAAATTCAGCATTTTCATTTTCATCTAAAGAAATTTCTAGTTATTAGGTTAATAAGCCGTATAAACGACACCCTGTATATTACAGTATCAATCAAAATATTATAGACTTTGTTTTTCATTTTTTTACACGTCACGTCTCCATTCTAAACCTTGCTGCTCCTTAATTTGTTGCATTATTGTATGCCTATCATTTTGTGACTATTTTCTATAAAAATGTCGAATGCTGTTTATCCACATGTTGGTTTTTTTATTCCAAAACGCTTGCATCCAAAAACTGTATGCGATTTTTAAAAGCAAAGAATATAAATTCCAATGAAAACTCAAAAAGTTGTCAGTCAATTTTTTTCAAATATGAACACGTACCTATAACTACAAACTATAGTTAAGATAAATTGTAAGTAATTAATCATTTTATACAAATTGCAATTATGTATTATTATATTTAATGCAATTAAAAGTAATACAGGTTAGATAGCGACTTAACGTCGGAATTAGAAAAAATTTTATTGTGTTCAAATAAAAGAAGATAAACAATTTGTTATTTTGTAAAACGAAAATGTAAATACTAGGATGTAAACATATATACCAAGTACAAAGGTACTTTATCAATGGTTATCTCTTGCGTATTAACATTGTTTTAAAATTTCGCAAGAGTAAAGTATATATACAGGTTTTCATACATAGAAATAAGTGTTTTTTTTTCTTATTTCCAAGTTAGATTTCCTTCATCGAATATGGATGTACATATGGATGTACTAACCTGGTTCTGCAGGAAGAACTGCGCCTGTGGGTTCATCTGGTTCCCGCTGGCCTGCTGCAGCATTGCCAGTTGCTGCAGCTGCTGCAGGCTCTGCGGGCTCTGGAAGGCCTGCAGGCTGCCCAGCATCTGCAGGTGGTTGCCGAAGATCCCTCCCAGACCTCCCAGGGCTGCTAAGGCGGCTCCCACTCCCGGGCTCGAGCTTGTCACCTGGGAGTTGGGGGTGGACACTCTGGGCTGGTCGGTCTCGGCGGTCACCTGGAAAGGACAGCAGAATTTTATCAATTTGGGACGGCAAAAAAAAATCGTGTCAGCGCGGTAGTCGCAAGATTTTTTTGACTGGCAGCCTGGTTTTTGATACTGCTGGTGACTTGATAAGATAAAGCGGATAAACACTTGTGGCGGGTACATTCGGCTGAGTCGTGGTAATCGAAGATGGTACTCAAGGGGCGATATGGAACGTCATAGATTAAGCTGGGTACTGCGATGGGTAGCAAAAGGAGGGCGTGCTCCAGGGTTACCTTCTAGGACCACGATAAATATCGTTAATATCGTTAACTAGTATATTTTGATGCTAGTAAATAGAATTATTTATGTAATTCGGATCATAAACGATTATGGTACACGCGATTATATTGGCTAGTACCATAATGATAACTTTGAATACATCACGGGTGCTATAAGGTAATAAGGACTTCGGTTCTTATAACATATTGGATACCTCAATTATTCAACGCGTTATAGTTATGACACACTCTTTTGGTCATCTTTTACTTTAGAGATAAACCCATCGAACTTTATATCACTGTAGTTCAGACAAAATGTTCTATTAGATTAAATAAAATGTACAGGGGAATATCAGAGTTGTTATTTATAGACATCATCTTTTACTTTTTCGATATATTATCAGCGAGATTTTCTATTGCCATTGTAGTTTACTATTTAGAATTAATTCCTTGGCGCCGTATTAACAATGGATGATAAGATATCGTTACCATAAACAACTGGACGTTTCTAAGTAAATTAATTTACAATTGAAAAGTTTGTTTCAATAATTGTAATAACAGAAGTGCAATCTAATCTGTGTTATCTATTAATTCACGTTTTGGTTAGTCTACTTGACGGTGGTAGGTTCGTTGTAATTAAATAGAAATACTCGTGTAAAAACGTAAAATTTTTAAATTTATTTGATGATTCAGTTTACTAGCGTGATTATGACTAAATTCACAGAACATATGTCGCAATAGATTAATACATATTAAATAGCGACCTTAAATATAAAAGTATAGCAGATACTTAAAAGTGAAAACAGTGACCGGACAAAATTTGCTTTATTTATTAGTAACTCGTATAAAGGAAATAATTGTTTAACCGTTACCTATAAATGATCAATATATTACTCGAGGCTTGAACTATACAGGGTATAACATTAAATGGGGGTCAGTTTTATAGGGATAATAGTAAGTGTTCCCCAGAATTCTAATATAAAATTATTCTTAGTCAAATAAATATAGTCTAGTTATAATTCGTTTTTTTTAAACTGCACTTAAAATCTTGTCTACGCCGTCACTGGGCATTTTCCGAACTCGGTAGTATGAGCAGTCTTGTTAGTGTTGCCTGCTCAAGCCAACTGTGCGAAATTAACGGAATGGCATAGAGCTAAACTGCAATGGAAAACAATTTTGTAAAAACATATTGCTTTTTTTGTCACTGTTAAATACGTCATTAATTGTAAGTAAAATTGATTTATGTTTTAAAATAATAACTTTAGCAGTTTTATAAAATGTTCGTAATAAAAAATAAATAAAAATATTTACTAATCTGATAGAAAAAGTGTATGTCACTATTTTTTGAAAGCATTGTGTTTAGCGTATAAATCCTACTGTTCTTGACATACCTGACTACTGACTTACTGACCTAGTTTAGGTGAAGAATATACACATCATTTTATTACATTTGTTTTTGTTTTCAGTTTATCGGCCTATTCGAGAATCTGTTTGTAATACTAAATAAATAATTTCGCGACTTTCTTCGTAAAGCAGTAGTTTTTAATGAAATCGAAATAGAATTTGTATACTTACTGCAGTGTTGTGTTTTATTAAGTTTAAGTTCATAGTGTAACTAAAAGTGGTACTTTATTGAAGTGTTTTGTTTAATGTCAATGGTAAAATCTATAGGTAATATGACCTCCATCAAAAGTTACGCCCTGTATATTAATATCCAGGGTGATTCAGAATTTATCCGAAAAAATTTGAGAATACCTATATGCGTCATGAAAAATGGAGTCAGTATCGTAAAATTTTTTGTAAAATCCTTATAGTTTTCGAGAAAAAAATTATTGAAGTTCTAGTATTTAAAACCCTTACATCGCTGGGCTACTGTAGTCTCTACCGTTATTCACGTTGTCTCTGTACGCAATTCGCTCTCTCTCCACGTGGTTTCTGACGATTCCGAATACTGAAATCCGATTTTAGTAGGCATTTTCTAAGTGTCAAAAATGGCTTACGTGTATAACAACTCGGTGTAGATGGTTATCGTTTTAATTTGTGTTATGGTGAAGTATTTGTGTTATGGTGAAGCAAGACAACATTTGTGTTATAGTGAAGTATTTGTGTTATGGTGAAGCAAAACAACATTTGTGTTATGATGAAGTATTTATATTATGGTGAAACAAGACAACATTTGTGTTATGAAGTATTTGTGTTATGGTGAAGCAAAACAACATTTGTGTTCGGATGAAGCATTTGTATTATGGTGAAGCAAGACAACATTTGTGTTAGCTCGTAGAAACTGGGTACGACGGGCCGAAATATGCATGTTGGTGGACAAAAAACAAAACAGTTGTTATAACATCAGGTATCTCAAATTATTTTATTAATTCAAACCACAAATTAATTTTATTAATTAATAATAGCAATAGCGGCAAAAGTAGTTCAATTTGCTGATATAAAATAGGTGTTAAATAAAATTTTAATTTTTTTCCTTAGGAAAGGAAATCTTTAAATTTTTTGTCTGTTAATTTTTTTATTACACTGCCGTTGTGCCGGTTTACGACTGCATGTCAGGTTTTACAGTGGACTAATTTCCAGTGTCGTGCAGAAGAATTTTTAAATCATTTTCGATCTGCCCTTTTTGATTTTTTTTACAAAATTGTATTTGTACATTCAATTTTTTTTTTCGGATAATTTCTGAATCGCCCTGTATTTGGTGATAAGTCCTGACATATACCAGTTAGAACTTTCCATATGTTTTTCCAAACAAAACATGAGACAACCGACCGACAGTAATGAACAGCATGGGCGTAACTATGGGTCAGGAGTGCGCACGGCCCACCCCTGCGTGACCTTTTTTTTGAGAGGCCTCCATAAAGCTTGCACCAAGGGCCCACCCCAAGCAAAAATTGTAGCTACGTCCTTGATGATCACCTATTACGAGCCGCATTACCCGAATTCTAGATGTAATTTTCTAAAATTCATATTTACACATTCTAAAGGTGTCTCAAAATCTAAAATTCTTATGTAAACTTTTATGAAGACGGTGTGATTGAAATTAAATTGTTCTTAAACCAAACGCTCAGTTATTAAAGCAACGGTAACGCTCACATTCCTGAAGCATCCTATCGGGAGGCATAAAAAATTATTCGGTGGCATAATGTATGCTGCATACTACACCGAACCAGTCTTTAATTTCTCAGGCTATCCGTTCGAGATGAATGTAATTAGGTGTTAAATTAACCGCGGTAATTGCCGAGGCCTCGGAGGCCTCTTCGCCCATTAAAACGCGCAGAGTAAAATTCGCACATCATCTATTTGCCGTGATAATTTCACACTTCGGTTTTACATCTTCATTTAGTGCGTCGTACGTTCGAAAATTGGCGGCCCGCGCTCCAATTACAACAGGAAGTAATAACGATCAAAGCGACGCGAAGGTAATCGCCCGATTGGGTGAATTTCTTTTTTGGGGGTTCCCCAAGGTTGGAGCCTTGGACCTTTCTAAGCAATTATCAAACGGTAAATATTTTTTTTGGTAGAAATTTTACCTCCGCCGAAAAAAAAGTAATTTATTCATTTACTGACCGTTGCGAGTAATACTTTATAGGAAAGAAGCAAATACCAGTGGCGTGCAGTGGCATTGCAAGTAAGGTAGGCAATAGTAAAAGTTTGATTAAAAAGTGAAATAAAAACAATAATAGGCACTTATACTTACTCATTAGACAATTAATGCAAGAATTTTTTAAAGAACACTGACCAATGTTCCATTTCAGACATAACATTTTTAATTGAGTCTGTTGAAAATCTGATAGTAAAGTTCTAGCAACAGCAATTATATATTGTAAATTAGGTCAATACTGCGGTCTTTCACTAATCATAACTGGCTAGAAGTTGTATGCATTCTATAAAATTGTCATTGTTTGAAGACTCAGTGTATTCTGCATGTCCGCAAAATGGCAGTTCTTGTTTCCCCAAAAGGCAAGTTACGTCGATGAGTATTCGCATTATATTACGATTTCTATCTACTTTAAAATTATGCCGTTCTATTTCTTCTCTAAACGAACGAGAAATGCTAAATTCTATTTGATTTTGCTCAAAGGTGCATAAAGAAAGCCCAGATTTCAAATGATTCTCGGACTGACCACCTTTTTTTTACACTATTTGTGACATGATCAACAATACATTTTATTCATTTGCTTGCAACCTCTAAGCCACTTGTGATTATCGTAAATCCTATTGCTAAAATATTTATTATTATATAATATATTATATATAATTTTAAGAGGTGGACTGTTTGTTTTCAAATGTTCTGGAGCGAAATGGAATTGTTTTTAATCGTAAACATTGAGATTATTGGGAATATTGAATATGGTTAAATGCAACTGTGCGTTTTTTCAAATGATATTGAGAATATTTGCGTTTGTTTTTTTAAATGACAGAGAAAGTATGGATAGAACGAAAAAATTAAGACATGTTAAAAATTAATTCAAATTTAATAAAACTTTTTTTGTGGTTTTACTAGGGTAGGCAACGCCTTTTTGCCTACATTGAATGCTCGCCACTGGCAAATACTACTCGTTTATAAATTATGTTTAGTCGAACTGTTCGAAAAAATTAAATTCGCAGTAAACACAAAGGGGGTGTTTTCCCTAAAGAATTTAAACATTTAACTTTTGAGCAGGGGTTGAACGGCTTCTGATGCTGTTGGGACCTTCGACTCTGGATTTATATATTGAGAACAAGTGTTTTCAAAAAGAACAGATCTACTACGAACCCAAGGGATCCGTTGTCAATTATAAGTAATGATATTATTTCAGCAAAACAAACATTTAAACATGCTTTGAAACCAATATGTTTCTATTTATTCTTTAATTTAACGAGTAATGCGATAAAGGTAGATTTATAATAAATAGAACAGTTTTGAAATAGAGAATATAGAGTAATATGTTTGGATATTTTTTTGTTTAAATTATCATTCTAATTAGGTTGAAAAAAATTAACAAAGTTGGTTTTTGAAAAGTGACTGCAGAAAATGACGTTATATGTGACCCCGCCTGTGTAATTTATATAATACATGTGGTAACTACGTTCTTACTGCACGAGATTGATGTTGCAATACTTTATCCACAGTTAGAGGTTAGGAAATAATTTAAAGATCACCGCCATCTATTGCGAGGTATTGTATTTTTAGCCGTCACAATAGATGGCGCTTCAAGTTTTGCTGAAATTTATCTTTCTTAAAGCATTTTTAAGAAAAATTTCAAGCCAGCAGTAGTTGAAGGATCTACATTTAACATCTGATCATAAAAAAATTACTCACCAAATTCAGGGCACCCCCTCGGTCTGAGTCCATGGAATTCTCCTCGTTTGGGTCGAGCTGCTGGTCGCTGGCGATGCTTTGGTCGTCCCCGCTGACGTCGCCATTGGCATCTCCGTCTGCAAAAGAGGAAATTGTAAATTCCAGAATAAATTACCAACTGTGAATCAAATCCTCGACGATCTGCGCTTCGTATTCGATTTCGAGCGGTTGGTTAGTTACAGTTTTTTTCTCATACGACTTAAGCCCAATTACACTTTATGGAAACAGCCAGGGTTCTAAATTGCCCATGACTAAATGATTATCAAAAGTTTGTTTTCGTTCACGGTTAGTTTAGCGCGCACTATAAAGTTTACCCATATGGGCGGCTGCGATGCAATGAGTACATTATGCATATTACATTTTTCAAGGCTTGTTCCCACTTGCCTTCCACTGCCCTTATCTTTAAATCCGTATTATAACTAGACAATATTCCTGCATACGTTACTAACAACATAGTTGACTTTAAATTGTAGTTATTCAACCAGTTTTCTGGAATAACTAATGTTAAACAATTCAGTATTATTTTAAGTTAAGTGATGATTGTCTTTGAGACTGAATGTCCTGCAGTAAATACAAAGCAAATGAAAAATGCTTTACCTCTCGTTACCGATTTATATCCAACTTTCCTCTAGCAGGTACTGAAGCTGTTATTACTTCTAGTCAGTTAGCGACAAGAATGGTAAATATGAATTCACCAGCTCTCTTGACAGTACCTAGAATTACAATGATGTACCTACTTGAAGTATGTAAATAATTAGAAAATAAAATAACAGCAGGTGTTGATGCCATATCTAGCTTTGCTATATGTGTTAGCTGAACTGCTAAAATTTGTCTGTAAAATCGTACTAGATAGCTGCATATTTCTTGATGTATGGAAGATTGCAAGATTGTGCTTAGCTTTGAAGAAAGATGACCCTGCAGTAGTCAATAATTAAGTCAAAATCACACTATTTAATGATGTTAATGACATCCTAATCACAGGGCAACATGGTGTTATTTCTGGAAGATTGTGTGTAACAAACCTTGCTCCTCTCACACAGTCAAATTCATGTTGTGTTGTGTGTGTTGTACAATGTTGAAATTAATTCACTTCGTGGGGCCTTCTCCTGTCCTGGTTGAGATCCGCCGGCTGAGATCCGCCGCCGCCGCCGGCTGAGATCCGCCGCCGCCGCCGGCTAAGGGCTGTTCTCCTGGCGATCACGCTTTTCTGGAGCATCTAACGGGCCCATATCAACTGTGGTCGAGATTACAGAAGCAATATGTAAGTGGTGCCATCTTCACGGCGCCATTGAATTTACTTGAAATTAATATACATTTACACTCACTCAGTAATGAGGACATTTACTCTGATTTGGGTACAAGTGCACCAAATACGAGTTTACGTGAAGAATTTATTTAAGGAGTACCTATATTTGAGTGAAAGTACTCAGTAAAATATAACATCGTTAGCTTCCACAGACACCGTGATCATATTCTATTCGATTATATTATCGATAAGCTGGAAAAAACCAGTGTCGTATTTCAATTTCCAAGTGTTTTCAAAATTCACCCATTTTCCATTCTGGAACAAAAAGGCGGAAAAAAGTCGTACCAAGCCGAATCGAGCGAGTCCCAGCGCGTCGAGCGTGCTGTGGGAAAATTGAAATTTTCACCGATATATCCAAAATCCCGTCGTTGCGCTCCAAACCGCTCCCAGCATCCAGAAAACACCCTCTCTACGATCGCGAATGTTACGAAATTCAGACCTTAATCAAAATAACGCCCTGTTCATTAATCTGAGCAACCCAGGAAGATATAAAATTCCTGAGAGGCCAAAAACAGAAGTGCAAATCTAGCCAGAGTCTAAAAAGCCGCCTTAAATCGGAGAGATGCGAGAGCTATCCGCTTATTCAAGGAAAACCAAACGAGAAACTCATTTGTGAACGAACGTCAACTCTGAAAATCGACAGATATAACTAGGGACGGAATCCTGCCCAGTGCTTACAGCGCGATCTAATAGAGATCGGTGCCTGACTAGTGCCTGTAGCACAATCAACATTTTTGTAACAATACTATATGCAAATATTTATAACCAATATCTATTGTCAAACATATTGTAACTTGCTCTAAAGTCAGTAATATAAAGCAAACTATAAAATTCCATATTTGAGTTATATTTTCTCACGAGGTTAAAACTCACAGCTCCGCAATTGATTGGCTTGTTTTCGCTTCAAAAGTTTAATTGGTTAGTCGTTTGAATACAATCTAAACAATCTGTTGTGTTTAAAAATCATCGCATTGATACCAGAATAATGTTTTCTTGCTTTATACAGGGTGGGCCACCAGTAACGCCTCGGTCGCTAGTGACCAAACGGCAAATGTTACAGAAACCTGTTTAGGTGGGTATGTGTAGGTTGATTACGGCTACATTTTAAAAATATTTTGAAATATACAGGGTGTCCAGGAAAAGCGTACCATATCAAAGTTATGTTTTTTTAAATGGAACACCCTGTATTTTACTGCATTTTTGAAAGCACCGTAAAAAAATAGGTGAACTTTATTAAAGGTTCTGCATACCTAGGACTTACAGTTTGTGAGATATTTCAATTTTAGTGAAAATGCAGGCATAGCGTAGAAATTTAATATTAGCAATAAAAAAATAATTTTAAGGAAGCAGCTTTGGAGGGTCTATTTTAGATCCTTGAAGTTATAAATTGTTATATTTGTCGTCACTTAGTATTATACAGGGTGTTCAAAAAACTGCTGAATACTTCTCTCAACTTTAAACAGCAATAACTTGGTTATTTTAAATGGAACACCCAGTATATTTTTACTTTGGGAGTTGGGAAATTTAAAACTCTTTCAAACTGTGTATAGGTTCCCTATACCTATCTCTAACGGTATTGGAGATATTTGTGCCGTTTCGTTTTTTATCGATTTTTTTTTTGTAAGATGTATCCACGTGTCTTTATCGAGGTCTTTACTGAATTGGTTTGAGTTCTTCTTGATGACGTCTCTTTAAATATAAGGAGAAAAATGTGAATGCAATTAGATGGCGCACCTGCACATTTTTCATATTCAGTGAGGAATTATATAAATCGATAAATAAGTAATAAATGAGTAGGTAAGAATGGTCCATGTCAGTGGCTACCACAGGTGTCCAAACCTCTCGTAATAGACTTCTTTGTTTCGGGCTGTATAAATATATATCTTGTACACAGTGTTCCACCTACTACTTGCGATGATATGAAGAAAAGGATTAGATATATCACCCCAAATAACTATTCTAAGGAATGTGAGAATATCATTTGAAGATAGAATAAGATGCTGTATTCAAGAGAAAGGTTATCAATTCGAACATCTATTAAAATTTTTCTTTGTTTCTTCTAAAAGTAAAATTTTCTTTAATAAATATTTTTCTTGTTCATAAATAATTCAGTTACTTACTACAAACATATTTATACAAAATTAATAACTTTTTATAATCATTCTGCTTATAAAATAATATTTTTTATTAGAAAACTTTTTTGAATATTTTCATGATAATGATAAAAGGAACTTTTACTTTTAGAAAAAACAAAGAAAAATTTTAATTGATGTTCGAATTGATAACCATTCTCCTGAATACAGCATCTTATTCTATCTTCAAATGATATTCTCACGCAAATGCATCTCTAATCCTTCCCTCCAATATCATCGCAAGTAATAGGTGGAACATTGTATACAAGATTTTTTATATAGCTCGCAACAAAGAAGTCCATTACGGTGAGGTCTGGACACCTACGTGGCCACTGACATGCACCATTCCTACTTATCCATTTATTACTAAATTTTCGATTTAAATAATTTCTCACTGAATATGAAAAATTTGCAGGTGCGCCATCTAATTGCATCCTCATTTTTCTCAATATATTTAAAGAGACGTCATCAAGAAGAACCCAAACCAATTCAGTAAAGACCTCGATAAAGACACGTGGATACATCTTACAAAAAAAATCGATAAAAAACGAAACGGCACAAATATCTCCAATACCGTTAGAGATAGGTATAGGGAACCTATACACAGTTTGAAAGAGTTTTAAATTTCCCAACTCCCAAAGTAAAAATATACTGGGTGTTCCATTTAAAATAACCAAGTTATTGCTGTTTAAAGTTGAGAGAAGTATTCAGCAGTTTTTTGAACACCCTGTATAATACTAAGTGACGACAAATATAACAATTTATAACTTCAAGGATCTAAAATAGACCCTCCAAAGCTGCTTCCTTAAAATTATTTTTTTATTGCTAATATTAAATTTCTACGCTATGCCTGCATTTTCACTAAAATTGAAATATCTCACAAACTGTAAGTCCTAGGTATGCAGAACCTTTAATAAAGTTCACGTATTTTTTTACGGTGCTTTCAAAAATGCAGTGAAATACAGGGTGTTCCATTTAAAAATACATAACTTTGATATGGTACGCTTTTCCTGGACACCCTGTATATCTCAAAATATTTTTAAAATGTAGCCGTAATCAACCTACACACACCCACCTAAACAGGTTTCTGTAACATTTGCCGTTTGGTCACTAGCGACCAAGGCGTTACTGGTGGCCCACCCTGTATAACATATGATTTGTCATAATTTTAATGATTGCTCTGGTTCTTGTGATATGCATAATGAATCTCTTATAGCAAAAAATACTGCAATGTTTTAAGTATTTTTGTTACATATTTTAATTATTGCACTTATACTTTTACTTGTTTTCTTAAATAAGTGTAAGCCGGGGCAAATAAATGTTGAATAAACAGGGACTTGATTTTGTGTTACTGCTTGTTTACTAAACTCTAAATATGACTTAATGAGGCTGAAATATCGTGCAGAAAATAATTTTTTGTATCGGCAAGTAAAACAAAGCGTCAGTTCAACAATGCTGTGTTAAAACAAATAGAAGAGGTTTTACGCGTCGCGTCGTTCTGATAGGTGAATATACGTACACTCCGGTTCACGTTGACGTGGAAAATGTGTGAAGGGATTTCACCGAAGAGCTAGGTCCTGCACACAATGCGATAAGGTAAATAACCCGCCGATAACTGCGGGCTACAAGCCCTCCTGTC